GTCTGCTTCCTGCAGCCCCTGGCGGGGGCAGAGGGAACACAAACGGGGTGGAGGCTGGACACGTGTCGGGGTCCTCTGAGACCCTGCATGCAGCTCTTGCACACAGGTTGGGGGTCGCAAGGGTGCTCTGGTGGGAGTCCAGTTCTCAGGGAGGATTTGGACGCCTTCTTTGCCAATAACTCACTGAGGGCCTCTGGGCAAGTTGCCCAGCCGGCTTCCTCTAGCCTTGGTTTTCTCACCATCAAAATGATGGTGTTTGCCTCTGACCCTGAGGGGAGCCACCTGAGGGGGGAGCCCAGGCAGCGCACCAGGCTGCAGTGCCACAGTGCGTGGGACCTTGCTTTTCTTCTGAACCTCCTGGTAATGGAAGGTTCCAGAGGGTCTGCCCCTCAGCCCTCCCCACTCCCTGCTGTTCTCAGCTGCTCACCGCACTGGAAGTGTCCTGTCCCCCAGTGTCAGCCTGGGCCTGCTGCTCAGAGCAGCCCTAGCTGATAGGGTGCCAGGGCTTGGGGCCCACGCATCTCTCTCCCCTGTGCCAAGATGCCCTCCATACTCTGGTGGGCAGGTGTCGGGCCCTACCCGCTGGGTGCTCAGGGGGAGAGACAGAGTGCATGAGGCCAGTCTGTGAGCATGTGGGGCTGCGGCCAGCCCGCATGCCTCAGCTGGTGCCCCTGGGCCCAGCCTGGCTGGTGCCCAGCCAGTCAGGAGGCTGCCTGGCCAGAGGATGCGGCAGGTATGGAGCAGAGACCCAAATAAGCCCAGTTGGCATATGATCACATTCTAGAAGGAGCAGCTCAGGCTGTTAGCAAGCTGTGGGGTGCTGGGTGGTGGTCCAGGAGGTGGGACATGAGCTGACAACCACCCAGTGAACCTGGCACCTTAGGAGTGTTCCCCTTCTGTGTCCCCTCAGGCTTTTTAAATGGCTGGCGTGGCAATGGCAATACAGCATTTTTTCCATCCTCATTGTACAAATGGGGAAAGTGGACAGTTAAAGTCTGTGACTTGGCCTGGCTTCCCGGAGGGGAGGTGGGGAGAGCCGTTTGGTACAGGCCTGGGCGCCCGTCCAGCTGCCAGAGCAAAGGAGGTTCTGAGGCCCTTCCCCAAAGGGATTGGGGACCTCGAGGTCATTCTGTCTGAGAATGCTCAGGCACTTGGTTCTCTTGACAATCCGTAGTAGATCTTGGGAGCAACTTATCCGCGGATGTCAGAGTTGCTGACCTGGGTGGGGGGCAGGTACGCCATTCTGGGCTCATTGCCACCCCAGACTCCACCGGTATCAGGGAGCAGGTGTTGGAGACAAAGGTGACCCAGCCCTGGAGCCCACCCCCGCCTCCCATGCCAGCCTGTGCTTGCCACCCTGGCAGGAGCTTCCTCCAGTGACATGTTTTTCTGACCTGCCAGCTCCCTTGGCCACCAGCCCTGTGGGGATAGACAGGAAACCCTAAAAATGCCACTTTGGGGGCCTTCCATTCAAGGACTCTGCTCAGGCCTGACCTTGTCTTTGGGTTTTCTTTGGGCGGGGGGGGAGGTTTATTTTATTTAAGAAACATTTTTTTCTTTTTAAGGAAGAAAGTGAAGTGCTGTGGGCTGGGAAGAATGCTGTGGCCATCCCCAGGCGTGGCTTCCGAGGGCAGGGACAGCCTTAGAGCCCGGGGTCCTGCTTCTTGCTGTCCCCGGGCCTGGGTCAACAAGCAGAGTCTCTGGGAAGGAAGAAGTCCCTGCCTGGCAGGTTCCCTGGCTGGCACAGGCAGGGTATCTCAGCCAGCACTCTTCCCAGCTGGAGACCTCTGCGTGTCCAGTCATTAGTGCGCTGAGTCACATGGTGGCAAGTGGTACTGCTGTCCCCTGGGTCCGGGGTGGACATTCCCTCTGCCAAGCTGGCACCAGTTTTGCCAGTTCCCAGGAAGCAAATTGGGCTCAGGAGGGCTTCCCAGTGAAGCCCCTTGGCCCCCATTCCCAGGGCCATGCCTAGCTCCTGGGGGGGTTACTCCCCATGGGCTGGAGTTACTTTGCCTGTCATCTGCTCTGTCTGTCTGTATGTTCCACCTGAGCAGCACCCGACCATGCCTATCTGACCCTCCACCACCACGGAAAATTGACATTTTGTGTTACTTTTTCCTCTATTGCTTTTTCTCGTCCCCTTTTGTGGACCAAAATGTCCGCAAACACGAGAATTGGGTGCAGAATCAGAGCGCCCAGGGCTGACCACCAGGGTGGTGAAGACCCCACCTTCCCTGCCCACCTGGCAGGTGAGGTCAGGCAGCTGGTCTTGCAGGTTCCCGGGCTCCACTTCCCTGTCTCCACCCTCTTCTCTCTGGACCCCTGGTGGGACCCTGCTGAAGCCTTGAGAGCTTGAGGCAGAAGGTGCCTGAGGGCCTCCTGGGACTCTCCAGTGTACAGGCCCCGATGGGAAGGGCTGTGTCTTTCTCAGGGTCACAGATTTTTACCGTGCTCCTGCTGCGTGTGGAGCGCTCTGTGAGACTTGCTTTCTGTCCTCCATCTCCTGTGTCCCTGTGAATCCCACAAGGCCAGGAAACTTGTCTTTGATGGTGGCCAGTGGATTTGAGCCGTTGTGTGGCCCCAGGACAGGAGGGTGTGCCAGCGTGGATGAGTGGCACGTCCCAACCTGGGGGCCCCTGCCAGTTTGAGGAGAGTGTCCTCTCTTTCCTGGAGGGAACCGGCTCTAAAGTGGCAGCATGGGGATGTCTGGGGTCTCCAGGATTCTGGGTCTGGGCTGACAGCTCTTCTTTTCCTGGCCGGGCAGGGTCTGTGCCAAAGGAATCACAGGATGGGAACAGAGTCGCCAAGGCCTGTCCTTGTCATCAGCGCCCTAGTTCCTGCTGGAGACAGCTTTGGGGGGAGGTCACAGCATCTTACAGCCTCTGAGGATGGGAAGTAGGCACAGTGGTCAGGCTCAGGATTGTGCTGACGGCTGCCTGCATGGCTTTCCTGAGGAAGCCCCAGCATAAGCAAGGTCCTGGGAGGACCAGCACCTGGGGTTCCACCCCAGACCTTCTTGGAAGGACAGTGGCAAATGAAAACAGGCAGAAGCCCCCGCTTCCAAGACCAGAGGCTGGGCAGGGTCCTCAGGCCACACCAGCCCTGCCTGGAGCCACAGTTTTTCCAGACCCCTGGGTCCAAAGCCTGGAAACCCTTGCTGGGCCGGCCTTGTGAACACCTCTACTTCCACCTGACAGCCTGAGCTTTCTCCTGCCCACCTGCTTCTCCCCCACTCCCTGGCTGCATGTTGGCATTGCCTGGGCTTCCTCCCCATGACCCCCGTGGAGTCGTTCTACTCGCTCCCTGGACTGAGCCTCCCAAGAGCTGCTCTCTGGCTGCTTCCTGGCTCTGAAGTCCCCTCCCCTGCATCCACATTCTGCCCTCCCATGTGACCTGCCCTCCTGCTGTGTCCTGCACTGTGCCCTCCTCCCTGCCCTGCTGGCCTCTTGCTCTTTCCTGGGGGGCAATCCCCTGCTTGGTCCCACGTCCACCCACCTGCCCTGGGCTTCACCACCTGTCGACGTTCTGTTTGCATTTCAAGAGCTTGTGGAGGCCTGCCTTCTCCACACAGCATCTCCTGACACCCAGAGCACTCCCCACTGCCAGAGTCTCCTGGCACCAAGTGGGGTCCATGTGAGGCTTTCACACATGCTGATAGCACACACCCAGAGCCTGTACCCTGGAGGGCGGGGACAGGGTTCGTGTGACTTGCATGGTGCCTGGTGTGTAGGGGATGTGCAGCAGGGCTCGGTGACAGCAGCCTGGGTGAGAAGGCAGTCCAGCCCCTTGTTGGCTCCAAGGGGCAGGGACCAGGTTACACAGAGGCATGGGCTATGCCCTGCACAGAGCCCCGATTCGTGGATTTGAGTCCTCACGAGCCAGAGGCCTCTTGGTGGCCCCACATGTCCTGGGCTCAGGTGTGACAGCCCTGTGTGGCCCAGCCCTGCATGTGCCCTTGTCTTGAGCAGCCAAGTATTACCCCAGGACTCAGGCCAGAGAGGGCCTGCTGGGACAGGCTAGCAGGGCGGGGCTGAAAGTGTCCCTGGAGAGGGGGTAGGGAACAGCAAGATGCACCCGAGGCGTGGAGTGTGGCCCGGTGTGGCTCTTCCTGTTAGTGGTCAGTGTTGGGGGTGGGCTTCAGGCATCACAATGGCCAGTCCTCCCTTATGGTCCTACCAAGCAACCCAGGGCAGGAGTCATGTTTTTTAGCCAAGTATGGGGGACATGGGAACTGAGTCTTTTATTATTTACTTTTAAAACTATGTTTATAATTGAGATATGGGCTGGCTAGTTAACTCAGTTGGTTAAGGCATGCTGTTATAACATCAAGGACAAGGGTTCGGATCCCTTTAACATATACAATTCAGTGGTTTTTAGTATATTCAGTATGTTGTGCAACCCTCACCCCTATCTAATTCCAGAACCTCTCCATCGCCCCAAAAGGAAACCCCATACCCACTGGCAGTCACTTCCTTCCCCTCCTCTTAGCCCCTGGCAACCAGGAATCTGCTTTCTGTCTCTGTAGATTTGCCTGTTCTGGACATTTCTTATGAGTGGAATCCTACAATGCGTGGTCTTTTGTGACTTTCTTCTTCCACTGACTGTAATGTTTTCAAGGCCTCATTCCTTTCTGTGGCTGAGCAGTGTGCCCTCGTGTGGATGGATGTTGTTTGCTTATCTGTTCATCTGCTGATGGACCAGGCCTGGCTTTTACAGTTTGGTCAAGTTCCCAAAGCCAGCACTGCAGGCGGTGGGCTTCTGCGTAGGAGGCCACCTGCTGGCCACCCTAGCCTTTGGGGACAGAGCCTTGGTGAGCAGGCACAGGCTTCCTTGGGCCCCTCTGGTGTGACGTGTGGTTAGGATAAGTGAGTAGGCCTGGCCTGGTGACCACTGCTGGGTCTGCTGCTGGGCCTGCGGGGAAGCAGGGTGGCAGGGATAGGCCTGCAGCCCCATCGGGCTCCAGGGGCTCCTGCTCACTGCGCCCCCTCCCTGTCGCACAGCATCCGCAGTGTCATGCAGAAGTACCTGGAGGACCGGAGTGAGGTGACCTTTGAGAAGATCTTCTCCCAGAAGCTGGGTGAGTACAGCAGCCTAAGGACATGTCCAGCTGCCCAGGCCTGAGGCGTGGGGGCTGAAAGACCCCAAGGTTGACTTCCTGCCCCCAGCCCAGGCAGCCGGGCTGTGTTCCCCTCTCCCAGGAGGTTTGCCCTCCCATCCACTCAGGGCAGGGCAGCCAGCAAGCCCCCCAGGTGGCCATAGGGGCTGCTCTGGGTCAGGCTGTGACCCCTGGTGCCTCCCAGCCCCTGGATGTCAGCCCAGGAAGCCGTGTGGTGGGGGTGGGGGCCCAGCGGCCTTCTAGGGCCTCCAGGGAAGTTCCTCCTTTGGGGTTTTTGTTTTTGAGAGTTGCAGCTTCCCCTTGGCCCAGGCCACAGCTGCTCTGGGCTGTTGGTAGAACTGACAGGAAGAGGCGGGGCCCTTCCTGTGGCGCCTCCGAGCTGCGGTCGGCCCGCCCCACGGGCCCTTCTTTGTGAGCAACCTGCTTTGGCCCAGGCCCCTCCGTTCTCCCTCCTCCTGGTGCCGGGTGCCTGTTGTCTTAGAAGCATCATGCGGTCTACCCCACGGACCTGGCCCAGAGGGCAGGCTTGGGGCAGTCTCTAGGAAGCAGGCTCCAGCCACACACAGCTGATTTGGCCTTCCGGAAAACAGGATCTCAGCTCTGAACTAGGAGTGGCCCGGCCAGGCCTGGCAGGATCTGGCATCAGAGGTCAGCCTTGGGGAGTCAGTGTCACAGCACACAGTCTGGGGCCTAGGTTTGTGACCTTGAGCAAGTCGCTTCACCTCTCTGAGCCTGATGGTGTCCTCATCTGGGAAACGGGATCATGAGCCCCAGTGCCCAGGACTGTCAGGTCTGATGAGGTGATGTCAGTGAGAGCGCTTTAAGCCAGCATGAAGCCCTGTTCACGAGTTACTCAAAGGTACTATATTGAAAAGGCCAGGCTGTCCTTACCACAGATGATGGCTACAAGCTTTGGCAGAGGTACCCAGGCAGTGAAGGGCATGATGACACCAAGGCAGTGCCCCTGAAGAGGCGTGGGAAGCCACCCAGCACAAGCCCACTCACCCACGGCAGACTGGAGGCCCTAGGGGCAAGTGGGCTGCCCTTAGTTCTACTTTGTCCTCTGGCAACAGCTCTGGGGCCAGGCCTCAGGCCCCTGGTCCCTGGGAAGGGTGAGGACATCCTGCCCAGGGTCTCCTGAGAGCCCTTCCCGTAGCCCACCTTACCTCTTCTGTTCCCCTGTGGCCCATCACCCTTCCATGCCCCCTGCACTGAGGTCCCACCCTCTGGCCCATCTTTCCCAGGGAACTGCCATCAGGTAGAGGAGCCCTGAGTTCTCATGCCTCTGCCACATACCACGTGTCTGACAGGTCTCCCCGAGCCTCAGTTTCACCGGCTGGGCCCACCCTCCCTGTCTGTCGAGAACCAGCCAGATGATGAAGTGGGGAGCAAGGTCTGGGAAAGGAGCAAGGTCTGAGAGGGGTGTGGCCCTCCTTCAGAGCCCCCTTGGCCTCCACGCCTGCCGCCTGCTGCAGCCTTACCTGGCCTGGGTGGCCAGGGCATCCAGGGGGTGATCTCTTGCACCTGCACACACTGCCCTGGCAGGTGGTGTCGGCCTCACAGAGGAGTTGTAGGGCCCCAGACTATAGTGGGGGAGGGGGGCCTGGCGCCAACCCAGGGCTCCCTGACACCAGAGACAGCCCCACTCTGCCTCGCCATGGTGCCTGTCACTTTCCCAGCCACCATCCGAGGAAGCAGATTCTGGAAAGCGGGTAGAAACCCAAGGGCCTGACCTGGAATCCAAGAATCTTCTGGTTGGCAGCAATCTTGTGGCTGCCCTGCCCAGCCCCTATCTGTGGCTAAGACCACCTCTGCTTGCTTCCTTGGCTGGTCCTGCCCAGGGAGCCCCAAACCCACAGCGTCCGTAATGGTGGGAAGGCCTGTGAGAGGAGGTGGGTTCAGTGTGGCCTGTCACGGTTGCTTTCAGGGTTCCTGCTCTTCCGGGACTTCTGCCTGAACCACCTGGAGGAGGCCAAGCCCTTGGTGGAGTTCTACGAAGAGGTAAGGCAGGACCCCACCCAGTTGGGCAGGCTGGCAGGGGCCAAGCAAGTCCAGGCCCTGCTCTGCTAGAGATGGGAGGAGGTGGGGGAAACTTCTACTGAATGCACAAGATGCCCCGCGGTGGTGCCCTGGGCCTGCTGGGCCGCAGATCACCTGTGGGCATCCTGTCCTCCAGATCAAGAAGTATGAGAAGCTGGAGACTGAGGAGGAGCGCATGGCCCGCAGCCGGGAGATCTTCGACTTGTACATCATGAAGGAGCTGCTCGCCTGCTCGCACGTGAGTGTCCCTGCCCGCGTGTCCTCAGCCTGGACCGCATGCTGGCCCCTAGTGACCCGGGGATTGGGAAGGGAAGAAAGGACCCTGCAGAGAATTCACAGCCACCTCTGTCTTCCCCAGCCCTTCTCAAAGAGTGCTACCGAGCACGTCCAGGGCCACCTGGTGAAGAAGCAGGTGCCTCCAGATCTCTTCCAGGTGCGTGCTGGGCTTATTCCCACTGCCCCCTGGCCCCTGCCCAGCCAGGCTTACCTTCAGACAGCCCAGGTCAAGGAGCCTGGCCAGCTCGGGGCAGGGCCTGAGCAGCCACGGTCCCCAGGGGCTCAGTCACCAACTTTCAGCTTCCCCCCTTAGCCATACATCGAAGAGATTTGCCAGAACCTCCGAGGGGATGTGTTTCAGAAATTCATCGAGAGGTGAGTGTAGGGGCTGGTGTGGGAGAGGAAGGGGGATGGAGGCCACTCAGAGAAGGATGGTAGGGAGGACAGAAGCCAGCTGCTTTGGGCTCTGACCAGCCAGGTGACTGGGCCCACCGATGGCCCCCTTGCAGGGAGTCCTGAGAGGTCATCCTCTCCTGCCCTGCCCTTCTCAGCACCAGGCATCTCAAAACCTGTCCCAGATGATTCTTTGGGGAGCTGGGGGCCACCTGTGCATCTTTCCATCCCCTGGACTGTCTAGCACCTTGCTGGGCCCCCTGGGCTGAGGAGCCTCAGGGTGGCAATAGGGGCAGGCAGGGAGAGCACGCTGACCCCGTGGCCCTTGCAGCCAGTCGGCCAGGTAGGTGGGAGGGGTAGGCAGGTTTCAGCCTGATAAAAGGATCGGCTTTCCGAAGGTCACAGCTTTCCCGCCACAGAGCAGGCGGCTTCGCAGGGAGTGGGCTCTGCGTGGCTGGAAGAATGCAGGCAGGGACGGAGGCGCACTTGTCCACGACATGGTAGAGGAAGTCTGGGCTGCAGGGAAGACCTCTGTCTCTCCCTGCCACAGAGCAGGCGGCTTCGCAGGGAGTGGGCTCTGCGTGGCTGGAAGAATGCAGGCAGGGACAGAGGCGCACTTGTCCACGACATGGTAGAGGAAGTCTGGGCTGCAGGGAAGACCTCTGTCTCTCTGCTTGTCTGGTCCCAGCAGGCACCCGGGGTTGGGTGTGAGGGCCGGGGCTCCGGAGCACAGGCAGGCGAGCGGACACCCCAGAGGGAGCATATGGTTCCTGCTAAGGCTCGGGGTGTTTCCGTGTCTCCCTTGACCAGTTTCTGAGGCTCGCCTGAGCCTGGGATTGTTCTCTTACAGCGACAAGTTCACACGATTTTGCCAGTGGAAGAACGTGGAGCTCAACATCCATGTGAGTGGGACTGAAGGCGGGGAGGGCCATGCTCCCTGCTGCTCGTCCCGGGGAGCTGGGCTGGGGCTTGGCCAGGGTGGGGAGGTCAGCGAAGTCTGTCCTTTAGCCCCCAGGTGGGGCTTTAGGGGTCAGTGCTGGGATTCCAGCAGGGGAGGCTGGAGGCAGGTACACGTGTGGCACGGGAGGCCCTGGCAGCCTGCAGTGACGTAGCTGTTGCCACCTGCAGCTGACCATGAACGACTTCAGTGTGCATCGCATCATCGGGCGTGGGGGCTTCGGTGAGGTCTATGGGTGCCGGAAGGCCGACACGGGCAAGATGTGAGTGAGCACCTGCTCAGCTGGAGGGACGGAGGGCCCCAGGGTGACTCCAGGCATGGGCATCCAGGGGAGGAGCTGCCAGGGGCTCAGTGCCCCACCTTGTCCCCTCTGTGCCACTGTCTTCTGCCCTCTCTTCTTGCTCATGCTGTTACCCCTGCTGCAGGCTCCTCAGAGCCCAACCTGCCCACACTCCTGTCACACACTTGTCCTGCATCTGGTCTGGGGCCCTGCCCTGCAGGTGGGCATTGACCGGCGGCCTCCGTCCCCGCACCGCCACAGGTACGCCATGAAATGTCTGGACAAGAAGCGCATCAAGATGAAGCAGGGGGAGACCCTGGCCCTCAACGAGCGCATCATGCTCTCCCTCGTCAGCACCGGGGTGAGCGGGGCCCGGGGCCACCAGAGCAGCCTTTGGCTCCAGAACCGTGGCTGCCCCTGCTGACCGCCCCTCCCCTCCTAGGACTGTCCCTTCATTGTCTGCATGTCCTACGCGTTCCACACGCCGGACAAGCTCAGCTTCATCCTTGATCTCATGAACGGTGAGTGTCGGGCCTGGCCTCAGGGTGGACAGGGCCAGGGCAGGGCAGGAGCCTGAGTGCCACTCCACGGGGCTGCCTCCCTCAGGCGGGGACCTGCACTACCACCTGTCCCAGCACGGGGTCTTCTCCGAGGCTGACATGCGCTTCTACGCGGCCGAGATCATCCTGGGCCTGGAGCACATGCACAGCCGCTTTGTCGTCTACCGGGACCTGAAGGTGAGGCTCCCCTGCCCTGCCACCCTCAGGCATGGCTTCCTCTCCCTCCTCTCACTCGCAGGGAGGGCCCCAGGCCCAGGGAAGTGGCATTCCTGGGACAAGGCCAGCTCTTTTTGCTTCACCCCTTTCCCTCTCACCTGAGCCACTTTCTGGGTTCGGGTTGTGATTGGGGAGAGGAAGAGAAGACCCCAGCTGGGGCCTGGTCCCTGAACACCCACAATCCTCTCAAGGGAAGGCAGGGACCCGTCTGGCCTCTTGCCTGGCCAGGCCCCATCCTGAGCTGCCTAGCAACAGCTCACTGGGCTTCCTCCACAGCCCGCCAACATCCTCCTGGACGAGCATGGCCACGTGCGGATCTCAGACCTGGGCCTGGCCTGTGACTTCTCCAAGAAGAAGCCCCATGCCAGCGTGTGAGTGCCCAGCTGCCACTCTCCCTTCCCCTTCCCTCCGCCACTCCACTCATGGCCTCCTTGCTCCCACAGGGGCACCCACGGGTACATGGCCCCTGAGGTCCTGCAGAAGGGAGTGGCCTACGACAGCAGCGCCGACTGGTTCTCCCTGGGCTGCATGCTCTTCAAGCTGCTGCGGGGGTGAGTGGCCATCCCAGGTGGGCAGGTGGGACAGGGCTGAGAAAAGCAGCTCCTCCCCAATCCAGGTAGGAAGCTGGGAGAGGGGAGCCCACGGCTGCCTGGGTATTAGGGATGGCATCATCCCTGGCTTTGGACAAGGCTCATTCACACAGTCTGCCTCAGTTTCCCCATCCCTGTCCTTTGATCCTGGTCTTTGGCCTCTCTTGCCCAGGCACAGCCCCTTTCGGCAGCACAAGACCAAAGACAAGCATGAGATTGACCGCATGACATTGACAATGGTGAGTGAAGAAGGGTCTTGATGCGGGGCCACAGTGGGTCTCTTGATGGGTGCCAGGGTCATGGATTCTTGGTTCTCACCAACCAGCAGAGATCTCAGGCCGCTGATCCCCACTTCAGCCTCTGTGACCCAGACCTCTCGCCCTCCCTACATTGTCAGAGTACATATGTCTGCTGGGGGGCGAGTTAGAAAGTGGGGCCCTGTCTCTCTACTGGGGGTCTGGACCCCTCACCTTGGAGCTGTGATGGGGCCAAGGGCTCTTCCTCACCTTCTGCCAACGTCCTTCTCCTCCAAAGGCCGTGGAGCTGCCCGACTCCTTCTCCCCCGAACTCCGCTCCCTGCTGGAGGGCCTCCTGCAGAGGGATGTCAACCGGAGACTGGGCTGCCTGGGCCGCGGGTGAGTAGCCTGCGTGGCTATTTGGGCACGCTGCGTGTCTGGGCCTCTGGCCATGTCCCATCACCTAGAGCCCCTCTGTGGTCCCAGCCTCCTTTGAGGGGTTCACACGTAGCCAGTTCCTTCCAATGTTCTCAGGGTGGAGAGACCCCCTGGGATAGCGCTGCTGGAGCCAGCTAGGGACCAGCTTCCAGAGGGCCCCTTTTGACAAAGGTGACGATGATGATGACAACAGCTTTTTATGTTTATTGAACATTTACTAAGTGCTGTGCACGGTGTTACAAGATTTACCATAATAAAACTGGCATGGGAACTACTGTTCTCCCGTTTTATGGAAGAGGAGACAGGCTCAAGTTTAAGGAACTTGCCCAGGGTCACAGAGCCAGAAAGTGGCTGAATCAGGAGTTGAGCCTGGGCCACCTGACTCCGTGGCCCAGACTTAGCCTCCAACTCAGAGTGGTGCCAATCCCCAGTGACAGACATCTCTCCATAGGGCCCAGGAGGTAAAGGAGAGCCCCTTCTTCCGCTCCCTGGACTGGCAGATGGTCTTCTTGCAGAAGGTAGTAGCCTGTAGCAGAGGCCGGGTAGGGCGTCCTGCAGCCCTCCCCCCCCAACGCCCATGACCTCTGTTCTGCTGCAGTACCCTCCCCCGCTGATCCCCCCACGTGGGGAGGTGAATGCAGCTGACGCCTTTGATATTGGCTCCTTTGATGAGGAAGATACAAAAGGGATCAAGGTACCAGGCCTCGCTGGCCTCTCACACCCAAGCCCTGAGCCTGGCCTGGGTGGGAGCCTTGCCCCTTCTTTGCCTCCCAGAGACCCTGCGCCAGCCCTGTCAGCTGGTGGGCTTCAGCTCCTCCCACACTTCCCTGGAGGTCAGACCAGACCATTCCTGCCCCAGAGCCCTGGGTGTGGGCAGGCAGTGGCTGATGGATGTCTTGGCACCTTCTGTCCCCCGTGTGTCCCCACCCCCTCCACCTGGTGAAGTTACTGGACAGCGACCAGGAGCTCTACCGCAACTTCCCCCTCACCATCTCGGAGCGGTGGCAGCAGGAGGTGGCAGAGACCGTCTTCGATACCATTAACACTGAGACAGACCGGCTGGAGGCCCGCAAGAAAGCCAAAAACAAGCAGCTGGGCCATGAGGAAGGTGAGGGCTCGCTGGCTGCCGGGCACCGGGCCCACTGTCCGCTTTAGAAATGAGAAACAGGCTCAGGTTTGAGGACCGGGCCTGAGGTCACAGCCAGAAAGCGGCCAGAGCGTGATTTAAACCCAGGCCGGGCCGGGCTGAGTCTGCTCCTCTCCTGTCTGCACCAGACTACGCCCTGGGCAAGGACTGCATCATGCACGGCTACATGTCCAAGATGGGCAACCCCTTCCTGACCCAGTGGCAGCGGCGGTACTTCTACCTGTTCCCCAACCGGCTGGAGTGGCGGGGCGAGGGCGAGGCCCCGGTAAGGAGCAGGTGCTGGTGCCAGGGCACTTCGTATAATGTATGCTATACGAAGTTATTACGTCTTTTTCTGCATGTTTACTGTTGGGAGTATAGAAATGCTACTGATTTTTTTGTATTGATTTTGTATCCTGAAACTTTGCTGAAATCATTTATCAACTCTAAGAGAGAGTGGCGGGGCGAGGGCGAGGCCCCGGTAAGGAGCAGGTGCTGGTGCCAGGGCGGGGAGCCGGCCGCGGGGGGCTGGGCCCGCCCTCACCCCTGCGCCCGCCCTGCAGCAGAGCCTCCTGACCATGGAGGAGATCCAGTCGGTGGAGGAGACGCACATCAAGGAGCGCAAGTGCCTGCTGCTCAGGATCCGCGGCGGGAAGCAGTTCGTCCTGCAGTGCGACGTGAGTGGGGGACGTGGGGCGGCCATGGGGGACGTGGGGGCGGCGGTGGGGACAGGGCAGCCGCTGACCAGCCTGGGCACGTGCAGAGCGACCCCGAGCTGGTGCAGTGGAAGAAGGAGCTGCGCGACGCCTACCGCGAGGCCCAGCAGCTGGTGCAGCGGGTGCCCAAGATGAAGAACAAGCCCCGCTCTCCTGTGGCCGAGCTGAGCAAGGTGCCCCTGGTTCAGCGCGGCAGCGCCAACGGCCTCTGACCCCGCCGCGCCACCGCCGCCACCACCGCCTTTTATAAACCTCTAATTTATTTTGTCGAATTTTTATTATTTGTTTTCCCGCCAAGCGGAAAAGTTTTTATTTTGTAATTATTGTGATTTCCTGTGGCCCCAGCCTGGCCCAGCCCCCTGGGAGGGGCCCGCTTGCCTTGGCTCCTGCTGCCACCACCCTAGCCACTGTCCAGCGCCCTCCACCCTGACCCCTTGGGACCACCTGTTCCCAGTGTCTTCCTGTGGGGGAGAGCAGCAGCCCCCAGCAGCCCTCCCGCCCCTTCCCTGGGGGATGATGCCACACGAACTGGGCCACCTCAGGCTTGTGGGCTCTGCTCTGTGCCCATGGGCACAGCAGGTGGCCCAGCGTCCCCCATCCTAGGGGAGGACGCAGCATGGGGACACTACTTGAATTTTCCCACTGCAGCCCTCCTGCGGCAAAGGGACGGAGCCCTGCACTGTCCTGCCCTCTTGCCGTTGGCCAGAGGAAAGGGCCCATTGTCTCCCCGGCCCCTGAGGCCTCCCACAGTGACTTGGGTTCCTGGGCGCTTGTTCAGGAAAAGCCCGTGGGTCCCTGCAACCTCCATTGCCACCTTCCCAGAACGCTGCGGGGCTCGGCCAGGAGGATGGCGCTGGCAGTGGGCTGCTGCCCTCCCTGCAGCCCCCTCTTCCACCCCAAGCGCCTGGGCTCAGGGACCGCAGAGAGGCAACTGTGGATTGGGCCACACCGGCCTAGCCTGGCCCCCAGCTATCCCCGAGCCTGGGCTGGGTGAAGCCTCATCTGCCCAGGACCACAGGGGGCTGGCCTGGGCGGGTGGGCAGCACAGCGAGAGGGTGCCAGCTGGGGCCAGCCCGTCCTGCCCCCAGCTGGTCAGTGTGCCCCTGGCTGTCCAGCGCCATAGCCCATGTCCTGTCAGCATGTCCCCTTGTGCCAGCCACGCTGCCTTGTGTGGTGTCGTGCCCTCTCTCCCTGGGGCTGGGTCGGAGCACCCTCCCCTCCCATCTACTCACTCCCCGGGGCATTTCTTTGCCGATTTTTGAATGTGATTTTAAAGAGTGGAAAATGAGACTATGCGTTTTTATAAAAAATGGTGCCTGACTCCTTGGCTGTTTCAGATTCTTTCTGTGACTGGTGAATACTTCCCAGCCTCCTGCAGGCTAGGGCCTGAGAAGGGAGGGTCACCAGGACCCCTCCACCACCATGGCAGGCATCTGGGGGCAGGGACTCCCACTCTCCCTCCCCCACCCCACCAGCTGGCTCGTCTCCCCCAGTGCCCATTCCCCACCTCCTCCCTGGGAGGGGAAGGAGTCTTCCGCCCACTGCCCAGGTAAGCAGGCGGAGGTGCCAACAGTTCCGTGCTTGGTGTCAGCTGGGACTGACTGGGGCCATCTCAGCCTTGTGAGCACTCCTGCATACCAGGCACCATCCTGACACACACACCCCCCAGGACAGTTACAACGAAGCATCTCCGCCCTCTCTGGGCCCTTGTCCCTCTCTGGCTTTGGCCTCCCCTCTGGCCTTGCTGTGCAGGCCTCTCATCTACCCAGAGGCTTCTGGTCAACTTCCTTGCCCCCACCCCCTGCCCTACAGGCTCTTGTGGGTGACTGAGCAGACATGTGCTGCTGCCTGCTCCTCACAGGCTCTGCCCGGCAAGGCTGAGGCCCAGGGCCAAAGCACAGCATGGTAGGCAGAGAAGGCAGGCCGCTGGGAGGGAAGCTAAAGAGTCTTGGAGGAAACAGCCTTTGAGCTGGGCCTCCAGCATGGGGGTAGGGGGTGAGGAGGACATCACTGATGCAGGGAAGCACCGGGCACTCATGAGAGGCTCAGGTTGGCTGGAGCATTATGGGAAGGAGCCATGCCTAGGAGGCCCTGAACGCCAGGCTTAACCTAGCAGAGCCTCCTGTGCACTTGGTGGCTGCAAAATGGAGATATGAATGGACGTGAAGTCTGAACTTTACTAGGCTCCATGGAGACCTTGAAGCCCCTGAACGGAGCTGGGGTGATGAGAGCTGGCTCTAAAACGAGTGGCTGTGTGCAGGATGTATGGAGGGGAGCGGATGAGAGGAGGCAGGGAGATAGCTTGGGGCTACTGCTGCTGTCCAGGGAAGGGATGTCCTAATGGCACTGGTGGTGGAGGAAGAGCTGAAAAGAGGCCAGATGGGAAGAACATGGCCTAGCAGGAAAGGGCTAGATTCGGGGATGAGAGAGGTGGGGGTCCAAGATGGCCCGTGGGAGGTCCGTGGTACTATTCACAGAGGCAGCACAGCCAGGAGAAGAGCTGGCCTGAAGGGAAGAGGGTAAAGTGGCTAGATTTGGTTTCAGACACACTGATGGGATAGCATGGGACACCTGGGCACAGAGATGTCCTGGAGGGAGCTGAAATGTGGGCCCTGAGGTGGCATCAGGGTAACAGAGGGAACAGACAGCCTCTCAGCCAAAGAGAAGCCCACTTTGGGGGTCAGGAGGGGAGAGAAAGGGCTCTGGAAAATGGTTGAGAGGCACTGACACAGAATTAAGAGCTGTTGGAGAGGTGTGTTCAAGACTGCAGAAACAGGCAGAGTCTGGGCCTGAGGAAGTCCTATTAGATTTGGGTTTGAAGAGGACTTGGGGAAGGGTGGAAGCCACAGAGGGCTGCAGCAATGGTGGCCAGCAGAGCCTGATTTCAGAGCTCTGGACATTCAGAAGCCGTTGAACTGCTGTAAACCCCAGGATGTTACAGATGACCTGGTGACACCATAGGGTGGGGTTCCAAAGTGATCCCAGATAGCACAGGAGCCACCTGACTACAATGAGAAGACAGGTAAGAATGGCAACCAGGCCTCCTGGCCCAGAGACTCAGAAATGAGGACGCCTTTGAGCAGAAGGTGACTCTCAAGCTAGACAGCCCTTCTAGATCAAACGATCAAGTCATTTTACAAATAGGGAAACTGAGACCAGAGGGTCAGCCTTAGCAAACTTGATGGCAGCCTCACTATCCACCAAGATCAGAGACCCTGGGCAGGGCCTCCGGTCACCAGGGGCCTGAACTAAGCTCACCGAAGCCGACTGAGGCCTGCACCCTGATTCCTGTGTGGGTGGAGGGGCCGGCCTTGATTTTGAAACTCTCCTTCCTCTTCTGACACTGGCAGCAAAGGGCAGCCTCTACAAAAGGTACCCATGAGGTGGGCAAAGGCAACCATTCCCTGTGGACTGTCCTCTACCAGGAAAACTCTGGCGCTGGCTGGGCCTGCGCTCCCCATTCCCCGGTACTCCCATCCCTAACTCCAATGCCCTGAGGAGCCCTGGATGCCTCCCCGCATCGCGGGACCCCCAGACACCGGCCCAGGTCCCTGGGGAGGGTGTTCGTGCTCAGCCGGCCAGAATATAGGGGCCTCTGCTGGACACCCATCCCCAAGCTGGGCTCTGCCCGGCGGTGATGGCGGGGAGCCGGGACCTCCCACCTCGTCCGGACACACGGCATAGTCGGTGCCCCGGGACCGGGGGTAGGAAGACGGGGCCGTGGACTGGGGTCTGCTAGAGGAACGCGGGTAACACCCCGACGGCAGGACCCCGGCCCGCTCAGGCGCACGCGCACACGCTCGCGGACGTCCCCGAGGCCCAGGCCCCGCCCCCGCCGAGCAGCCCCGCCCCCGGGTCCCCGCC